CTTGACGTTAAGTGTCCACAAGGTGTAGAGCAAGATCTACTTTCTCTTGATGAGGTTCGCGAGGCTCAAAAGATTGAGCCGTGGATTTGAAGGCTTCGAGATGGGTTTGAGAATCCTGCATCATTTGCTGATGACTTGCCTTTCCGACATTTACATTCTCAATATTGCCTTGAAGATGGCCTTCTTTATTTTGTGGGGACGGATCCTGATGATCATTTACGGTTGGTGGTGTCTTCAGTGTTTATTCCGCAGTTTCTCCATGCCTACCATGATTTTCCTGTTCTAGGTGGGTATATGGGACACCATCGTGTCACCGAGAAGCTGCGCAGGTCTTTCTATTGGCCGGTGATGCAATGTGATATTATCCGGTATATGCGTAGCTGCATTTGGTGCCAAGCTCGTAATACTCCCCCTCGTGCTGTGGAAGGACGGTTGGAGTCAATTGCGGTTTCCCGTCCATTTGAGTTAGTGGTGTTTGATCTTATGGGACCTTTTCCACGGTCGACTGCTGGCAATGAGTATGTTATTATTGCTTCTGACTACTTAACTCGTTGGGTGGAAGTTGGTGCTCTTGCTAGCGCTTCTGCAACTGCTGTTGGATACTTCCTCCTCAATCGAGTAGTGTTCCAGCATTCTTGTCCAGAGCGGATTCTTTCGGATAATGGTCCCGCATTTATGGGTGAGGCATTTCATGTTTTGACGTCTCGGTTGGGGATACGCCACACTTTCATGAGTGCTTATCATCCACAATCAGACGGTCTGGTGGAATGGCTCATTCGGACATTCAAAGGGATGATTGCGAAGTATGTGAACTTTTAGCATTCGGATTGAGATGGTTATTTGCCATCTCTTCGGTATGCATATGTTACAGGGGTGCAGAGTTCTGTTGGTGCTTCACCATATAAACTCCTATATGGTCATGATCCAATATTACCAATGGAGCTGGGTTTACCTTCGCGATTGCCACAAGCTGCCGATACTAGATCATGGGATCAGTATTTGATGAGCATTCTTCCACTTGTCCGAGCAGAGTCTGCCGAACACTTAGGCCACGTACAAGTGGGACAACAACGGCGCTACAACTCCCATCATCGTCTACCTGCGGAGTACAAAGTGGATGATTTAGTGTTAGTCCATTTTTCCCATCTTACGGTACATGGTTTATCTAAGGGGCTTCTTGTGCAATGGAAAGGACCGTATCGGGTGTTACGGCAAGTTAGACCACAAGTTTATGAGGTTCGGCATGACATTCAGCAAGCCGATCCTCCAAAGATTGTGCATGTGTAGCGGCTGAAACACTTTGTACAAAGGGATTAGGAAGAGTTAATACCACCTACAGATCCACCGATGCCTCCTCCTAATGTTCCTCCGAATCCTGGCCCATCTTCAAGAGAACCCTGATGGTCTTCCATTATCTCGAGAGGAGGGGATGATGTGAGGGCCAAGTGTACGGTTACGATGCCGTATACTAATATTAGCGTAGTGGGATTTTGGTAGCCGTCGGATTGGTTTCAATCTGGACCACTCGCTCCTATATATAAGCTAGGGTGTTTGGGCTAATTGATATGCACATTTTCTGTATTCCTTTTCCATATTCCAAGCACTCGCAATGTGTTTACTTAGAATATGAATAAATATATAATGCTAAGATTTAAGAACATTAATATTACTCAGAGCCAGACAAAGTCTAAAAATAAAGAATATTAGCTTTATGAGGTCTAGAACTTAATATCCAAGCCTTGTTGTTTGTTCATTAGACTTAATTCAAGAATTTCTTTCAGTGCTACAAACAATGTATAGAGCAAAAATCAAACTCAACAGGAAGTTGGTGGAGATGAATAAATCACAGCCATTGGCCTAATGCCATGCTTATTTTTGGCCATGTTATCAAGCCTTCTTCACTTGACAGATGCAATCTGGTCAATACATTGCATATGACATATATCATAATGCCTTCTTCTTTCACCCCAGGCAGTTAGCCATTTCCCATTGGCTGAGAGGAAACATTATCATGATTATTCACTAAGATGTGGTTAAAGAAATAACCCACCCCCCCAGCAGATGGCTTCCATTGGCTAGATCTAACAGCCCAAAAAATTTGGCAACTCCTCTGTATTATTATAGATGTTTTATAATTGAAATTTAAAATATGTTTGTAAGGTTTGTAAATACATATGTGTATATTCATATATTGCTCTAGCTAGGTAATATAGTATTATAACATATGGACTGTCCATTCAAGACTGAATTTAGTCCATCCATTTTTGTATATAAATAAGGGTCTAAATCCCAATTAATATATTTATTCCTATATCCCAAGCACTCATATTAATGGAGTTGAGAAGCATTACAATTTGTACCTAAAGGGCAAAGCTTTTGATAATGCTTTGCTCTACTATTTAGGATTGTATGTTTTATTCTTATTTCTTCATTCTCTTTTAGATCTAGATCTATATTAGCTTTTTGCAAGATCTAGAATTCTAGCTATTGCTGTGCTTAGATACTCTTTCTTTTGATCTTCATTGCATTCTCTTCTTCTTACTACGCTAATATCCATCAAGGAGTATATCACTTGAGGTTATTAATGTTGTTCCATTAGATCGAGCTTTTGATGCTGTGGAGTGTGATCATATTGGTACTACACCTATCCTTGGTGTGTTACCATTTCTAATTTCTATAGGATGTGATTATATGACTTGTGGTGTTCTACCATCTCTTGTTGATATGGAGCGTGGTCATGACATCGATTAGAGAGTTTTGGATAATATAGTCTGGTTCTTAGAAAATGTTTGAGGATCGAGTTTATGGGAAAACAATGTTTACAAGTTTGAATGGAATTTAGATTGTGATAAGGAACTTAATTATTATGGAGATAGTTTTGGAGATGACTTAGAGATTTTACGAGGTAAGTGTTAATCCTTTAATTTGTCATTTGATCCTTTTTCTTTACCTTTTGCTATTTCTTTTTTTTTTTTAATTTCTGGGCTCTTTTTCATGTTCTTAGTGTTCCTTCTTCCTTTGCAATATTTCATTTTCCTAGCACATCAATCATTTTTAACTTTTATGATTTTCATTCTTAGTCTAGTGTTGAGTTGAGTGTTTTTTGTCCTTCTTATATTAATCTAGATGTTAAGTATGTGTATAAAGTTGAGAATCTTACTTTTGTTTCATTAGTAAAGTCTTTGATCACTTATAGTGTTAAGTATTCCCCAGGCCGAGCAAGACAACATTGCTAAAGTCATTTCAGAAGGGGAAATGCTCAACCTTTTAAACATCAAAAGGATATTCTAAAAATTAAGTCACTTTGGTATAGTTTTAGATTGAATGCATATCCCTACTTGTGAGTGCTGCTGAGAGCTTTTGCTTTACTGTTGCTACTAAGGAGTTTATATATTCCCTTAAGAGTGTAGATATTGTTATTAATTTTCCTGTCTCCAAGTATGTTTATATTTTGGTGGCCAAAATATTTTATGATAGGAAGTCCTTTATTTTCCAAGATTTGACCATATATCCTTTCTTTATTTCTTTATTTCTATATTGTTAGTTATTGTAAATTCCTCTTATAATGCTTCTTTATCCACTTTTTCTTCTTTCACAATAATTTTTCCTCAATTTTTCTTACTTTCTCCTTTTTGCCCCGACACTTCAAACTTTTTTTTTATTTCGAAGGGGTAGAGGGGATTGATAGGAGTCCGGTCCCCGACGATAGAGTGAGGACGAGCAAATACAATAATGGAATGAGGACAAATGACATAGATTGTGGAGTGAGGATGAATATAACGAGTTTGAATGGAATATCTAGTTTGAGGCCAAATAGATGCAATAGTGGAGTGAGGAGATTGTGAAGTGAGAATGACTGTAATAAACTTGAACAAAGCTAGTGCTTTAGAACTTTGTTTTCTTCAAGAAGGGGATATTGAGGATGTAGAAGACAAATAGAGTAAATTTAACCTTCTATGTGTGGTGTTAGATAGAGACGAAAGTCATAAGTCCGAGTTAACATAAGTATTAAATCTTAACTGAAAGGAAGATGTAAAAATAGGTTTTACTTATGGGCATAAGTCCTAGTTAACAATGGTCTTGGTTGATTATTGGCCAGTAAACTTAAACATGGGATGTATTGTTTATTATAATAGCATTTTATGGATTATAATGGTTCTCAAAATCATTTGTTTTGGTTCAAAATTATGGCTTCATGGTTGGTTTGAGCATTTGGTAATTGCACATGGAGTTGTAATTAATGCATCAAGATTTTGTAATTGATTAATGCTTATGCCATAGCTTTAGGTTTTGTTTTAATCATGGTTATTAATAACTTTTTTGGTGGTTTTGTGGGAGTTTCAAATTTTTATAATAGTTTATAATTGCCCAGTAAAAGCTCCAAATGTTCCACCTTATTTATTGTCATCAAAAGATAGTGTAAATTTTGTAAATACATGTATATATATATATATATTACCATCCATTCTTGTATATAAACAACATTCTAAACCCTAATTAATACACCTATTCCCCAATATTGTTATTTGAAAACATTTTAGGAATAGAAGTTTATAACATATTATAAAAAGTAAATAATGTTTTCCTTAGAGCCACAGGGAAGAAGCAGCGGCAAAAAAGTAGAAGCTCTAGGTAACAGTTACCACTGTGTGGATGCTGCGAGTGGCTCCCAGTCAGTAAAAGAGCTGTGGTGCACTTAGTCAGCAGGAAACTTTCACCTCCTGGTATTTTTGCTTGACTCATTTGCTATTTCTATTTGCTAGATGAAAGCCACTCTTTGACAGGCAAAGAAAATGAGCAAGAAGATTTAGCAACAAAAGTGCATCTACATTTACTTCAGCTTACTTGTATCTTCCAATGGTAAGAACAGCAGACTTGTAGAAGAGGCTCTAGAACTCTGAGAAGATGGCTAAGGGAGAGATTTCAAGGGGACAAAAATTCGTTGCAAAACCAGAAACAAAGGGCTCAGTGCTTAGTAAGCTTGAAATTGACACACCTTTACTCAGTCAGAGCGTCAGCGTCAAAGGCCGCTTGGAGAGAAGCTTGTGCTGCTGGATAGACGAACACCAGAATGTTCTCCATTTTGGTCCGGAACTCGTTGGGCATCAGCTCCAGCACTGTGTCGACGAACACCTCCTCCAACTCCACCACTTGATACGCACCCGCAAGCAAACGCCGCGGGATCGATCTGGCATACTCGAGCCCCACGGTGAGCCCTGCATCGTTTAACAATGCCACGACTCTGAAAGAAATAAAAGTCACATGTGACAGAAGAAAACACAGAAAAAGAAAAAGAAAAACTTGCCCTGGAATGTTGAAAAACGCATCCCAGTTTGTTTTTCCATCGGCTGCGAGTGGGATCTCCACATCTGCTTCTCTCGCAAGCCTCACGCATTTCTCCCGAGCGGCCTCACAGAGCTTTCGCAGAAGCACTCGCTCGAACAAGCGCAATGCAGATAACCTCTGCCGCAATGCTGAGAGTTCACGGCCCTGGGCTGAAAGCTGACGACCCAGGGCTGCAAACTCCTCCTTCAGCTTCGAAGTTCTCTCCTTCAGCTTCGAAGTTTCCTCCTCGAGCTTTGCCACTCTCTCTTTGAGTTTGGTAATCTCCTCCTTAAGGCTGACGATCTCCATTGAGTCCTTCTGCAGCTCCTGGATTTTCTCAGCTTGCTCTTTCATAAGCTTGTCATTCTGTGCCTTTGTGTTCTTGATCTCTTCTTTCTGGTTGGTGACTTGCAGGATCAACGTGGAGTTCAGAGCTTTGAGTCTCGTGTTTGTGCCCTCCAGTCCCTGGTCTGGCTTGGGAACAACCCTGATGTAGTTCTGTCTGGCCCATGCCTCAGGCGTCAGCCTCGAGTTCTTGTAGCTAGGATCACTGATTTTGGCCTCCAGATCTTCCTTCCGCAGGTTGAAACGTTTCGCTGCCGCATCCACCGCAAAACCAAAAGCGCCATCCAGAGATTTCTTCCAGTCACCCGCTGGAAGAGGCCATGCAGACAGCGTGAATGAAAGCGAGGATTGGCCGCTAACGCAATGCAGCTTTGATTGTCGCAGAAGAGGCGAGTGGGAGTCTTCACACTCACACCAAGGTTAGAAAGTAGTGAGCGTAACCACACACCTTCTTTGGTAGCTTGTGAGGCTGCCAAATATTCTGCTTCAGTACTAGAGGTTGCCACTGTACTTTGCTTCCTGCTGCACCACGAGACTGCCGCACTGCCCAGGGAAAACGAATAGCCAGAGGTGGACTTGCGTGTGTCACAGTCTCCCCCAAAATCAGCATCACAGTAGCCCGTGAGGGTAAGCGCTTTTCCCTGGTAGCACAATCCAAGGTAAGTAGTACCTCGAAGGTACCTGAAGATGCGTTTCACCGCTGCCCAATGTTGAGATCCAGGATTAGCCAGGAATTGGCTAACTTTGCTGACGGCAAAAGAAATATCTGGGCGCGTACAAACAGCTGGATACATGAGACTGCCAACAGCTTGTCTGTAAGGGATGGAGTCCATGGCTCTCTTGTCGTCCTCTGTCTCAGGAGACATGGCTCGTGAAAGCTGGCAGCCTAGTTCCATTGGTGTCGCCACTGGATTAGAGCTCGTCATAGAAAACCTGGCCAGCATATCTTCTATATACTTGGCTTGGTGAAGATAGATAGTGCGTTGAGAGCGATCACGCACAAGTTCCATGCCAAGAAAGTAAGAAGCCGAGCCAAGAGTTTTCATCTCAAATTGGCTGCAAAGATCTCGCTTAACCTGGAGAAACATTAAGCGATGATTATGGATGACAAGAGTATCATCAACATAAAGAGCGATGATCACAAATGATTCACCCTCCACCCGAATATAAAGATTTGGGTCTGCCTCGCTACGGGAAAAGCCCACACTTAGTATAAAATCGTCAAAGCGTTTGTACCAAGATCTGGGTGCTTGTTTCAAGCTGTAGACAGCTTTCTTGAGAAGCCAGAGATGATCCTCTTTTCCAGCGGCTAGAAATCCTTCTGGCTGTGCCATATAGATTTCTTCTTCAAGTGCGCCATAAAGAAACGCCGTGGTCACATCCATCTGTTCCAGATCAAAGTCTCCCACCGCAGCAAAATTAATCAAGGAACGAAGAGTAGAATGCTTAACCACTGGAGCAAAGGTGTCGTTGTAGTCAAGTCCAGGAACTTGCGAGCATCCTTTCGCCACCAATCGCGCCTTGTAGCGAACCGAGCCATCAGGATTAAGCTTCAGAGCATACACCCACATGCTCTTGATAATCTGGCGATTGGAAGGCACAGTTGGAACAAGAACATGTGTCTCGTTCTTTTGCTGTGAAGCAATCTCGGCTTCCATTGCTACACGCCAGTAAGACGCTTCCTGTGAGGCCAATGGCTTCTCCATAGGTCCTCGGAACAGTAGGAGTCCCAGCTGCACGAGAGGAGACCATTGTCTCGATGAGACGCTCAGTAGGCCACCTTGTGCGGTTCGATCTGCGTAGAGGATCTGGAGGAGGCGGCGGGGTTGGTGGTGTTGGAGTAGAAGCGGGCATAGATTGTTGCATAGGGACTGTTTGAAGCGGCACAGTGATCGTGCCGACAGTCAACTGATCTTGTTCCGCTTCAACGTCATTTTCTTCGGTCAAGGAAGTAGAACCTTGACTAGAAGGAAGAAACGAATTCTCGTTGAAAACCACATCTCTGCTCAGGATCTCCTGCTTCGTGATTGGATTCCAGAGACGATAGGCTTTGTGATCGAGGCTGTAGCCCACAAACACAGCCTTCTGGCTCTTGGGGTCCAATTTCTTGCGCATTCCATCAGGGATGTGTGCCCACGCTTCACACCCGAATATTCTCAGATGCGTAACTGTAGGTTTCTTGCCACTCGATGCTTCTTCAGGAGTGATGTCAGCAAGGGCAGAGGTGGGGAGCCGGTTCTGGAGATAGTTCGCCGTCAAGACAGCGTGAAACCAGAAGCTGCGAGGCAAACCACTGGAAAGTAGCATTGCCCGAGCACTCTCCACTAGTGTGCGATTCTTGCGCTCAGCTACGCCATTCTGTTGTGGAGTCTCTCGCGTTGTAAGTTCTCGCACAATCCCTCCTTGCTCACACAGCTGGTTGAAAGCATTGGAAGTGAATTCGCCTCCACCATCACTTCTCAATCGCTTGAGCATTTTCCCAGTTTGTGTTTCTCCCATATCCTTGAAAGTCTGGAAGTAGTGTAACGATTGGGATTTGCGAGCCATAGGGTAGATCATAGTGCGACGACTGTAGTCATCAATGAAACTGATAAAGTATTGGATACCTCCCACTGCTGTGGTGGCCATCAGGCCACACACATCAGTGTGTACAAGTTCCATGAGCTCTGTAGCTCGAGATGCTCCAGTCTTGGGGAAAGGTTGGCGAGTAGATTTTCCTAGCTGACAGCCCTGGCAAAATGGAAGAACGGCTCTTGGGTCCAGGTCTAGACCTTCAACCATCTGCTCGCGTGCGAGCTGCTTGATTCTATCAGCACTAGGATGCCCCAGGCGTGCGTGCCAAAGCTCCAGTGAGTGACTGGTCGTTGTCTTTTGTGCGTGTAGGCCCAGACTCCGTCCAGTAAGATCTGGCAGCATGGTAAGGCGGTAGAGGTCACGCCGTCCAGGCCGGGACGCTGTGAGGATGGCTCCTGTGGTCGAGATAAGCTGGAATTGGCGAGGTGTAATGGCGAACTGATACCCATCCTCAGCAAATTGTCCCACAGAGAACAAATTAGCACATAAACCAGGAATATAAAGAACCTCGTGGATCTTTACGACTATTCCTTGTGGTAAAGTGAACTTGATGGTTCCAATTCCTTTCACAGCAAGCTGCTGGGCATTGCCAACGATGACATACTCCTCTGTGGCTGTAGGAACATAGGCTTCAAAGTACTTATCACTGTTGAACATATGGTCTGTAGCAGCAGAATCCAGGTAGATGCACTCTGCAGACAGTGCTGCCACAGCCATAGCTCGTGACAAGATGAAGGCGTGTACCACCTTTTTCTTTGCATTGTTCCTTACAGGCTTGAGAGATGGATTTTTCACCCAGCATTGAGCTTCGTCATGGCCTTTCTTGTTGCAATGAGAACACTTGGGCTTCTTGGATGAAGAGGCTCCTTGTTTCCCTTTGTTCACTGTTTCTTTCCTGAGAGAAGAGTAGAATGCAACGGCCTCTGATCCTGTTGTTGCTCTTCGTCTCAGATCATCGTCCTGGAGGCTACTGATCACGCCATTCAGGGTTAGAGGAGTTCCAGTGGTAGTGAGGCTACGTATGAGAGGATCAAAGGATGGAGGAAGTGTGACGAGCACCAGCTCTGCTTCTTCTTCATCCTCTATGTTTGCACCTACATCCTTAAGATCATCTAAGATGGTTCTCACACCAGCAAGATGATCCTTGAGATCATCCCCTTCAGCCATCACCAATGCATGAAGCTGCTTCCGTAAAAATATGCGATGGGATGTTGAAGGGATCTGGTAAGTCTGCTTCATGGCCTCCCACGCTTCCTTTGCACTCTTGCACCGTCCAATGCAATGGAATTCTCGCCCCTCCAGCGCTGCATGGAATTTGCCCAAAGCTCTCCGGTCCTTCTTGCGATACTTCGCAGTTTCATCCACTGTAGCTGTATCTGGAAGTGTCTCAGTTCCTGTGGTGATGTCCCAGAGGCCTCGTTCATCCATATAGGATTCGAATTTTGTCTTCCAGAAGCGCCAGTTCCTCCCATCAAATTTTGGTGGATTTGCGTCCACTGAAATGATATCCACTGTAGGCACAGTCGGATTTGTGATGGGAGGGGAAATAGGTGGTGGATTTGGAGGCGGATTTGTAGGAACAGTGGCTGCCATGGGTGCCGACACCCAATCCCACCACTCGTTCAAGTCTAGGTCCAGGTTCTTAGTCGTCCAGTGCCTCTTGCAAGGCCTGGAGCGTTTGGATTAGGGCACGCCTCTGTCTACGTAGACGGAGGCTCCGATTCACCCTAGCGGGTGTCGCCCTGATCCTACGGTTTCGTATTCTTTGCGCTCTCCCAGGCATTGCTCCGATACCATCTAACGAAAGGTGAAACCGTGTGATGGTGCTCAAGATCCGTCATAGCATATGTGGAATGGAAAATGTACATATGTGTGACATGGTGAACCGGTGAAGACTCGTGTCTCTCCACGTGGACTAGCCACGTGGCACAGGGCCACTCTCAACAGAGTGCACTCCACGTAAAGAATCGGGACGCACGGACGATTCTCTCCAGGCGCAATATAGTTCCCTGGAAAAAAAAAACGAGGATAGAGCTACCACAAAGCTTCTTTGCCACCCTATTCTGCTTGGCATCCAATCTCTCAGCTTCGAGGGGGAATTCTCTTTGCTCTGGCGAGAGATATCTTGGCAAGGGTGGCGCCAATCGATCGGGAGTGACTTACCGCTGCCGCTGCTGCCCATCGCTCCACTC